TCAAAGATACACAAGAGTTGCACATGTGTAATTCAACAGTCCCTCAACCTGGAATCGATGTGTTCTTGTAGGAAGTGCAGCATAGGGCCAGAGAGGTGGCGAAACGTTTTTTCAATAGAAATTCCCATGTGTTGCACAAGTGTCTCAATTCAGAGACCGAGTCGCCAAAGACCGAGTCGCCAGAGACTGGGTCGCCAAAGACCGAGTCGCCAGAGACTGGGTCGCCAAAGACCGAGTCGCCAGAGACTGGGTCGCCAGAGACTGGGTCGCCAGAGACTGGGTCGCCAGAGACTGGGTCGCCAGAGACTGGGTTGCCAGAGACCGAGTCGCCAGAGACTGGGTCGCCAGAGACTGGGTCGCCAGAGACTGGGTCGCCAGAGACTGGGTTGCCAGAGACTGGGTCGCCAGAGACTGAGTCGCCAGAGACTGGGTCGCCAGAGACTGGGTTGCCAGAGACCGAGTCGCCAGAGACTGGGTCACCAGAGACTGGGTCGCCAGAGACTGGGTTGCCAGAGACTGGGTCGCCAGAGACTGGGTCGCCAAGACTGGTCGCCCAGAGACCGAGTCGCCAGAGACTGGGTCGCCAGAGACCGAGTCGCCAGAGACTGGGTCGCCAGAGACTGGGTCGCCAGAGACTGGGTCGCCAGAGACTGGGTCGCCAGAGACTGGGTCGCCAGAGACCGAGTCGCCAGAGACTGGGTCGCCAGAGACCGAGTCGCCAGAGACCAAGTCGCCAGAGACTGGGTCGCCAGAGACTGGGTCGCCAGAGACTGGGTCGCCAAGACTGGGTCGCCAAGACTGGGTCGCCAGAGACTGGGTCGCCAGAGACTGGGTCACCAGAGACTGGGTCACCAGAGACTGGGTCGCCAGAGACTGGGTCGCCAGAGACTGGGTTGCCAGAGACTGGGTCGCCAGAGACTGGGTCACCAGAGACTGGGTCGCCAGAGACTGGGTCGCCAGAGACTGGGTCGCCAGAGACTGGGTCGCCAGAGACTGGGTTGCCAGAGACCGAGTCGCCAGAGACTGGGTCACCAGAGACTGGGTCGCCAGAGACTGGGTCGCCAGAGACTGGGTCGCCAGAGACTGGGTCGCCAGAGACTGGGTCGCCAGAGACTGGTTACTGTGATCTTCTTGCATAAATTAAGGCTGCGAGAGAATCAAAGGATAAGACACTTTATTCTGGAAGCATTTCATCAGCCAGTGGCTTCTTCAGTCCATTACAGAGAACGGTGGAAGATAAGGAGTTTGAGGCAATCAGTCCCTCAGTCTGGAATCAATGTCTTCAGTCCATCAACCTGGATAAAAGTCCATATAGAAATAACATTAGAGAAAAAGTAGGTCCACTTAAATGTGACTTCAAGTTAACCAATTACAGAGAAAAGGGAAATGTTTTCCTTTTTTGAACGATCATTTCCTCTCATTTTTTTTACATAACTGCAAAAGTTGATATCAAGTTCCTGGTCCTGATGTGTTTTTAAGAGTTCATAAAGGATGTAAGAATGAGCTTAAAAACCATAGTTCCCTAAGTAACAAAAAGGCACAATACCGTGACTGAAACAGTACACAAGTAACCCGCACATAGGAGAGAGAAACTTACCACGACGTTTCGGTCCGACTTGGACTATTTACAAGTCGGAGCGAAACGTCATCAGTCATAAGATCCCGGATGAGTGGAAAACGGCAAATGTTACAGCCATTTACAAAGTGCGAGGCAGATCCCCAGTCTCAAATTGCCAGGAAATTAATGAAATCAGAAGCTACGGATGAATTTCGAATCCATCTTGAAAGATTTAATGATTTTAGGAAAGTTGATAACGTGCCTCATAAATTCACTAACATTTTCCACTTTAGTATTTGAGACGGTAGATCAGGACAAGAATGAGATATTATGTATATACACTTCCGGAATGTCTTTACTAAAGTTTAACACAGGAGACTCATAATTATATCAAATCCTCTTATCAAACTTTTCCTACTTATCAAACTTCTTAATTATCATCATTTAATTATCAAACTTCACCTCATCAAACGTCCTTTTAATTATCAAACTTCCCCTTAATTATCAAACTTCCCCTTAATTATCAAACTTCCCCTTAATTATGAAACTTCCCCTTAATTATCAAACTTTCCCCTTAATTATCAAACTTCCCTTAATTATCAAACTTCCCCTTAATTATCAAACTTCCCCTTAATTATCAAACTTCCCCTTAATTATCAAACTTCCCCTTAATTATCAAACTTCCCCTTAATTATCAAACTTCCCTTAATTATCAAACTTCCCCTTAATTATCAAACTTCCCCTTAATTATCAAACTTCCCCTTAATTATCAAACTTCCCCTTAATTATCAAACTTCCCCTTAATTATCAAACTTCCCCTTAATTATCAAACTTCCTTTTAAATCAAAGTCAATTAACTTCCATTAAGATATAAATCAAAGTAATTATCTTTAATATTTTAAAGATATTTTAAGTCATTACGTAACTGTTAATAAATTGTGAAAAAAATTTAATTATTCTCTCCTACATAAAATATCTACTAATTAGCTAATTTAAAGGGTGAAGGGCTCTTGATTTATGGATCTGAGCTAACCTCTCGTTCCCCAGGCGCTGGATAACCCCTACGGGTCCGGCGCTTCCCTGTTAATATATTGAGAATCTACCAGTAAGGTCCACTTAAATCTGCCAGTAAGATCTACTTAAATCTACCAGTAAGATCTACTTATATCTACGTAAGATCACTATATCTACCAGTAAGATCTACTTATATCTACCAGTAAGATCTACTTATATCTACCAGTAAGATCTACTTATATCTACCAGTAAGATCTACTTATATCTACCAGTAAGATCTACTTATATCTACCAGTAAGATCTACTTATATCTACCAGTAAGATCTACTTATATCTACTAGTAAGATCTACTTATATCTACCACTAAGATCTACTTATATCTACCAGTAAGATCTACTTATATCTACCAGTAAGATCTACTTATATCTACCAGTAAGATGTACTTACATCTACTAGCAAGATTTACTAGTAAGGTTGCGAACTTAAAATATACTGAGAGCTGTCACCTCTTATGCTTTATTGATTTTACTCTTAAAAATAAAGCATAACTCAATTGATGATAAAAGACACCTTAGTAAAATTCCCTTTACTGACACTAGTTTATTGCTCAGTAAAAAATGAGAAGTTTTGGACGTCAGTGTTAGGATGCGTCAAAATAGGTCAAGTTTAGATTTGGTTAGATCAAGTTAGGTTAGGTTAGTGTATGCTAGGTTGGGTTAGGGTATGCTAGGTTAAGTTAGGGTATGCTAGGTTAAGTTAGGGTATGCTAGGTTAAGTTAGTGTAGCTTAGGTAATACTAAGGTTAAGCTATATTAGACTAAGTCCTTAACATTTAAAAATTATTTTGGGATACAAAAAAAGAATCACTAGGGTCTATAATCAGAAGGCATAATTAGAAGGTATAATCAGGAGGTATAATCAGGAGGTATAATCAGGAGGTATAATCAGAAGGCATAATTAGAAGGCATAATTAGAAGGTACAATCAAAAGGTATAATCTGAAGGCATACTGAGAAGGTATAATCAGAAGGTATAATATGTAGATTTCATTTGTAATCTGATTAACGATGAGAATATTTTGATGGAAGGAAGGAAGCCTGGGTTAGCTTCCTCGGCTGTTTTCTGCCTTTTTTTCCTTTGCTTCCTGCACCTCCCACTGCGCGCGCTGCGCGCAGTATACTCTACGTATAACCTCCATCACAGGTAACAGAAGGAAAACCTTCACTTTCATCTTGTTGGTCTTCCGATGTTCTCAGGAAACATTCTTACCATCAATCGTTCTTGTCATGAAACGATCTTGTCATGGAACGTTCATGTCCAGAAACATACTTGCCCTGGAACGTTCTTGTCAAGAAACGATCTTGTCATGGAACGTTCATGTCCAGGAACATGCTTGCCCTGGAAAGTTCTTGCCATGAAACGTTTTAACCATGTAAAGGTTCCGTCACGCAAGTAACTTTGAAAGGTTACCTACACACGAGTCGGACATTTTTTCCCCACTGACTCCTGGAGCGTGTCGTCTTGCTCGATACTGGAATGTCTCGACCTTCCTGGACTCCAGAGCGTCTCTATGTATTATGATTTTTCCACATCAGTGTGTTTTCAGTAAGTGTTTATGTCCTGTGTCTTAATTTTTTATCTTCTGGTCCTGGAAGGGTATCTGCCGGCGTCTGGACCCTGGAAACCTGTCTGGAGCTTCTGAAGTGTTTAATATTTTTTTTCTAATTCCTAAGATTAACTCCTTTTATTGGATTCTGGAAAAGCTTTTTCTCCATCTTCAAAGTCGGCGAGTCTTCACTTCAGTGACTTTCAGAGTTCTTGCCGCCGCAGATTACCGAAACATTGAGGTTTTTCAAGACTTTTCTTCTTGTCGGAGCGTGCAACTCTTCACATACAAAAATATATGGCGTGTTTACTTTATGATTTTAGTTTAATCATCTGAGTGTAAAGTTTTGGTAAACATTTTAGAACGTGAGGATGAGAGCTTGAGGCTCATCTTTAACCTTCTACTCAAAAAAAAAAAAAAAAAAAAAAAAAATTCAGCGAGGATCCTTCACATTTTTTATATCTTAATATTATTATTATTTTGAATATTAAAATTATTTTTTTCAGTGTTGATAATAGTAATTATGTTATACTTCCTTTATTATGGGGAAGCGCTAAATCCAAAGGGATTATACAGCACCTGTGGGGGTGGGGGAGAGTAAAGGTATTCAGGCTCAATTTGGGGAACTGGATCACAGATCCAGTTCCGTAGATCAAGAGCCTCTCACCAGCTTCAAGGAACCTCCGTTGAGAGAACTTCCTTTATTACAAAATAAAATTTCTAAACTGGCTCTTTCAAACACTTGCCGTCCAAGAAACAAAGCAAAATGTTCAGAAGAAATATTTTGCACCGACATTAACTCCATCTTTTACTTTCCTTGCAGAGCAACTGCACTGCATGATCATCAGGTGGCGCCATCAAGGAGGAGTCTCCAGTCCCAGCCAGAGATCAAGTATTCCTCTTGAATATCTGAAGCGCTACACCTGGACACCCACACAAGACTGTCTTACTGTTCCTTAAAAGAACAGGTTAACAAAGGAGACGCCACATTATGAGGTAGATATTCGTACTGTTTCCAGGCAGCATCTTCAGTTTTCGGAGAATAAACGTGAAGAACGTCAGGATGGCGTGAATACTAACTATCTTTACAGCTATCATAGTTTTTTTTGTTCTCTCTGGTTCCGAGTGTTAGCTGTCCAAAGTTGTACACAGTGGCATATGCAATACTTCCACTCGGAACAGACAAACTGAGATCACGTATAGAGAAATATCTGTGTAAACAGCCTCATGATAAGGGCAGTGACAAGAACTGAGAAACAGATAAATATGTCTCACAGAAAAACTCCTGACAGAAGCAGGGGAAATGAAGGTTGGTGCAGGAGGCTGGAGACGGGAATGGCGAGTACACAAACACACAGACCTTCAGGAGACCCGGCGAGCATCATGCCTACACCAGTAGCGTCGATCCCTGCTAAGTGCGGTCTCGGCGTCTTCACTCTGGTGCTCTTCAACCTGCTATCAACAGGTGAGTCAGCTGGTTGTGTGGTCTCACGTCTGTATGGTGGAGGCAGGAGTGTCTTTGATATCCTTGATCTGTGACTGGAGGTGAAACTTTGTGTTATGGGAGAGAGAGGTCGTGGCTTGGTGATCCTACATGTGGAACTGCTTGTCCTCTCAGTGTTATGAGAGGTAGAGTATTTAAGATACTACTTACTTTACCTGCCTTGAGGGTGTTCCGGGATCAACGCCCCCGCGGCCCAGTCCTTGACCAGGCGTCCGGGTGGATCAGAGCCCGATCAACCAGGCTGTTCCTGCTGGCCGCACGTAATCCAACGTACGAACCACAGCCAGGCTGATCGGGTACTGACTTAAGGTATCTGTCCAGCTTCCTCTTGAAGGCAGCCAGGAGTCTACTGGTAATTCCTCTTATGTCTAGTGGAAGGATGTTGAACAGCCTTGGGCACCGGACACTTAGTGTTTTCTCTTAGTATACTAATGATACCCCTACTTTTGGGGATATGTTGCACAGCCTGCCCAGTCTTTTACTTTCGAAGGGAGTGATTTCTGTGTGCAGATTTGGGACCAGTTCCTCTAGGATTTTCCAGGTGTAGATTATGATGTCTCTTGCCTGCTCAGTGTTCAGAGAGATAAAATATTGAAGATACTGGATTTGAGACTGCTTGTTCTCTCAGGAAGGCAGGAGAGTACTTACGGTACCAGATACGAGATTACTTGTCCTCGTATCCTCAGGAGGAAGGAAGAATATTTAAGATCTTAGATGCGTGATTTCTAGCGTCATAAAACATTTACCCTTCATTTAAAGACTGAAAGAGCAAGATATCTTAGATACCCTTCCTCTCTGAATGCTGAGAGGGTAAAGAGTCACTTATCTAGGATCAAAATACTCTTCTTCTCAGTGTCCTGAGAGGAAGAGTATTAAACACTGAAAGATTGCTTGTTCTCTCAGTTTTCGGGGACGTAAGAAGAGTATTGAAGATTGGAAGATTGCTTGTCCTTCTCTCTGCCTGCTTGCCCTCTCTCTGTGTTGGCTGACTGATTTCTTTCCTCGCTGTACTTAGTCTTTTTTTTAATTGTACTCTGCTATCTTCCTCTTGTTCGTCTTTCCTCTATAGATTATTTCATCATTCAACACTTTCACCACACTCGCACATTATCACTGTTTTTGCAGAGGTGCTCAGAATACAACAGTTTAGAAGCATATACGTATAAAGATACACAACATATCCCTCCAAACTGCCAATTTCATCAAAACACAATACACAAATAACCCGCACATAGAAGAGAGGAGCTTACGACGGTATTATGCCTTTTTTGTTATTTCATCAAATCGTGTCACATGAAGTGGACAACGAGAGAGATGCTGTGGACGTAGAGACAATATAAATAAATAACATATTAGAAAAAAGGGAACTGACGTGCCCCTTTAGTTTTCAACGCTGCTGAATCATAAGGGAAAGGTTCGTGGAATTACTAAGAATGACAGGGCCTTCCTGTCAACTTTATAACGACATTCCTGATTTTTTCGTTTCACGAGACAAGTTGAGAGACTTCTTTTCAACGTTAATGTATCCATCCTACTTTGGAGGATCGCATCCTTATTTAAGTGTGCAGGAGCCCATCTGTCAGTTCTGATATTGAAACTGTCATATGTGTTCAAAGTAAACTATCTTTGGCATGTCTCTTTAAAACGACTTCAGTGTTTAATGGCTGTTGCATCTTATGAAAGGTACGATTATTTTTTGGTTAAAGCTGTGAAGTTGCAAATTTGTGGAACAAACTCCCGAGTGCCGTCGTAGAGGTTGAGACGTTACGTAGTTTTAAAAATAGGTTAGATAAATACATGAGTGGATATGGGTGGGTGTGAGTTGGACCTGACTAGCTTGTGCTACTAGGTCAGATGCCGTGCTCCTTCCTTAAGTGGACGTGACCTGACCTGACTAGGTTAAGGCACTGGCTTAAGCCGGTAGAAGAATTGGATCTGCCTCACATGGACCAGTAGGCCTGCTGCAGTGTTCCTTCTTTCTTATGTTCTTAAGTTTGTTGAAGTTGGAAGAATTGAGATGCTGAGTGACATGTGACTGCCACCCACAGCAGACCTCGCCTCGGCACCACCCACAGCAGACCTCGCCTCGGCACCACCCACAGCAGACCTCGCCTCGGCACCACCCACAGCAGACCTCGCCTCGGCACCACCCACAGCAGACCCGTCGCGTCTCCCCGCACCACCCACAGCAGACCTCGCCTCGGCACCACCCACAGCAGACCTCGCTCGGCACCACCCACAGCAGACCTCGTCTCGCCAGCATCCTCACACCCACAGCAGACCTCGCCTCGGCACCACCCACAGCAGACCTCGTCTCGGCACCACCCACAGCAGACCTCGTCTCGGCACCACCCACAGCAGACCTCGTCTCGGCACCACCCACAGCAGACCTCGCCTCGGCACCACCCACAGCAGACCTCGCCTCGGCACCACCCACAGCAGACCTCGTCTCGGCACCACCCACAGCAGACCTCGTCTCAGCATCACCCACAGCAGACCTAGGATGGACACTAGCGAGAGTACATAAGAGCACTTAAGAGTACCTCCAGGAAGAGGTTTAGTCTGTATGTTAAAAAAACAGTCGCTCGTTTGGGGTGAATTACTCAGCACCACAAATGATGCAGTCGAAGTTTTAGCAGAATAAAATTGAATACCAGAATCTAGTTACTTGTGTGTGTGTGCTTGTGAGAGAGAGAGAGAGAGAGAGAGAGAGAGAGAGAGAGAGAGAGAGAGAAGATAAACACACAGACAAGCGTCCGCTCTGACAGTCAAAGAAAATATACGTTGAAAAACGTCACTTGAGTTGATGACTTTAAGTTAAGTGAACTTTGAAGTGAACCTCAGTGGGGCGAGAGTGCAGGAGTGGGGCGAGAGTGCAGGAGTGGGACGAGAGTGCAGGAGTGGGGGCGAGAGTGCAGGAGTGGGGCGATGTGCAGGAGTTGGGAGAGAATGCAGGAGTGGGGCGAGAGGGTAGGAGTGGGGGCGAGAGTGCAGAAGTTGGGAGAGAGTGTAGGAGTGGGTGCGATAGTGCAGGAGTGGGGCGAGAGTGTAGGAGTTGGGAGAGAGTGCAGGAGTTGGGAGAGAGTGCAGGAGTTGGGAGAGAGTGTAGGAGTTGGGAGAGAGTGTAGGAGTTGGGAGAGAGTGTAGGGCTGTGAGTGTAGGAGCTGGGCGAGAGTGTAGGAGTGAGGGCGAGAGTGTAGGAGTGGGGCGAGAGTGTAGGAGTGGGGCGAGAGTGCAGGAGTTGGGAGAGAATGCAGGAGTGGGGCGAGATGTAGGAGTGGGGCGAGAGTGCAGAAGTTGGGAGAGAGTGTAGGAATTGGGAGAGTGTGTAGGAGCTGGGGGAGTGCAGGAGTTGGGCGAGAGTGTAGGAGTGAGGGCGAGTGTGTAGGAGTGAGGGCGATTGTGTAGGAGTGAGGGCGAGAGTGTAGGAGTGAGGGCGAGAGTGCAGGAGTTGGGAGAGAGTGCAGGAATTTGGAAGAGAATGCAGGAGTGGGGCGAGAGTGCAGGAGTGGGCGAGAGTGTAGGAGTGGGGCGAGAGTGTAGGAGTGGGGCGAGAGTGTAGGAGTGGGACGAGAGTGTAGGAGTGGGGGCGAGAGTGTAGGAGTGGGGCGAGAGTGTAGGAGTGGGGCGAGAGTGTAGGAGTGGGCGAGAGTGTAAGGAGTGGGGGGGAGAGTGCAGGAGTGGGGGCGAGAGTGTAGGAGTGGGGGCGAGAGTGCAGGAGTGGGGAGGTAGGGGGGCGAGGTGTAGGAGTGGGCGAGAGTGCAGGAGTGGGGCGAGAGTGTAGGAGTGGGGCGAGAGTGCAGGAGTGGGGCGAGAGGAGGGTTCAGAAGGAGTGTAAAGAAGTGGAGAGGAAGGAGGGGAGAGAAGAGAGGTAGGGAGTAGGAGGGAGGATAAAGAGAGGGGTAGGGAGAGGAGGAGGGATAAAGAGATAGGGAGAGGAGGGAGGATAAGATAGGTAGGGAGGAGGAGGTAGGAGGAGGCAGGGGGAGGAGGAAGAGGAGGGAGGGAGAGAAGAGAGGTAGGGAGAGGAGGGAGGGAGAGAAGAGAGGTAGGGAGAGAGGGAGGGAGAGAAGAGAGGTAGGGAGAGGAGGGAGGGAGAGAAGAGAGGTAGGGAGAGGAGGGAGGGAGAGAAGAGAGGTAGGGAGAGAGGGAGGGAGAGAGAAGAGAGGGAGGGAGAGAAGAGAGGGAGGGAGAGAAGAGAGGTAGGGAGAGAGGGAGGGAGAGAAGAGAGGGAGGGAGAGAGGGAGGGAGAGAAGAGAGGTAGGGAAGAGGGAGGGAGAGAAGAGAGGTAGGGAGAGAGAGAAGACAGGTAGGGAGAGGAAGGAGGGAGAGAAGAGAGGTAGGGAGAGGAGGGAGAGAAGAGAGGTAGGGAGAGAGGTAGGGAGAGAGAGGAGAGACAGTAAGGAATAGAGGAAGGAGGGAGAGAAGACAGGTAGGGAGGGGAGGGAGGAAGAGTGGGAAAGCAGAGAGGTAGGGAGAGGAAGGAAGGAAGGAGGAAGAGTGGGAGAGAATAAGTGAATCACTGGGATACCTGTGTAAGACTAAGGGAGGGATTCACGAGGGATAATTGAAGAAGATACCAGGGATAACTGACAGTTATCCCAAAGTCTAGGTACTCGGTGAAGAGGAAGACTCGGTAAGGAAAGGAAGAGGAGGAGAAGCAAGTGCAAAAGAAGCAAGAGGGAGAGGCGTACAGAAGATAAGGGAAGGAAGATTATTATTAAAATCAAGGGGGAAGCGCTAAACCCGGAGAATTATACAGCACCTGGGGGGGGGGATGTGGAAGGCATTCAGGCTTAATTCAGGGAACTGGAGCACAGATAAGGGAAGGAAGAGAGGAGAAGAAGGAGAAACAAAGAAAATAAAGAGAACTTAATTGTGTTGTAAACAAACATTGAATTAATCAGTTTGAATTATTATTCATCTATATTCCTATTCTTCTCTTCCTTCTTCTTATTCTT